AGTGGCTTTGAAGTATTTATCTGAATTCTTTTTAATACCACATCCCAAGCACCTGACTCTGCCTATGCTGAGATAATACTTTGAGTTCATCAACCAATAATGAAATGAGACAAAAAAATACCCATTGCTAACCCAAGTTTTAGTGTAGCTTATAAAATTACTTGGAAGAAATAATCAGAGAGGCATGAGAACAAGCGATAGGGTGTTTCAAAAGGCAAAAGGAAAGAGAATGAAAATAAATGAAAAGAATTAAGTTCAATGGCAAATGCAAGATCCACGTTGGAGCAGTTTGAGGACACGGGCTATGCCGGGCTGCAGCACACTGCTATCGTGGGAAAGGCAGAGTGTGCCCTTGTGGTTCTTAAACCGGAGCTGCTTATTTAGTTTTTCCCAGACAGGATTTTTCATCAGCTCTCCATGATTATTCCATTTTTTGTGTTTCCTCAATTTATAGAGGGCTTTAGATTACTACTAGTCTGACCCCTCAGGCATTTTCCTAGGACTAGCTTTCAGCTGCTTCAAAATGATATGACTGCCAGGAAAGTACCGCTGCATCACCTCAGGCCTTTCTAAGAAGAGGTGATGCACTAATTGTGTCCTAATCCAAATGATATAAATGCACAAGAATGTAGAATACTGGACTGGTTGGCCAGGCGCAGTGGCCCACAGCTGTAATCCTAGCATTTCGGGAAGCCAAGGTGGGCAGATCATAAGGTCAGGAGTTCAAGACCAGCCTGGCCAACATATTGAAACCCTGTCTCTACTAAAAATACAAAAAATTAGCCACGCATGGGGCGATGGGCACCTGTAATATCCCAGCTACTTGGAAAGCTAAGCCAGGAGAATTGCTTGAACCCAGGAGGTAGAGATTGCAGTGCGCCAAGATCGTGTCATTGCACTCCAGCCTGGGTGACAGTGTGAGACTCTGTCTCAAAAATAAAGAAAATAAAAAAGAATACTGTTTAATTATTCTTCAAGGTAAACGGTGAGTAAAGAAGAAAACATATTCGAGGAACAGATGTCCAAAGCAGGATTTGTGTCCTCTAACATAAGGCTAAGAAGAAAACATCAGAAAATTTTTATTATTGTGTGGGTTCTATTTATCTAATGAAAAAAATATTATGAATCATTAAAAATGATCTTAGAAAATTAAAAAGAGAAATCCAAATGAAATTCTAGAGAGTGACTTTTTCAAATAATTTTGACAGATACATCACAGCATCCACTGTCCTCCAAGTCTGTCTTCTCACGATCCTTTCAAACTCTAGATACTACAAAACAAAGTAATCCGATTGTGCTATGTGCATTAAAAATAATTGTAAATAATTAAAAATAATTGTAAAACATAGGAACGTGTGAATCCATAATACTAATGTTTGGCTAAACTTTGGAGAAATCTGCTATATTTAAGCATACAGAAAGGCTTCGCTAATCATAACTGAAATCAGGACACAGTCAAAGAATCAAACGAGCAACTTCGGCTTGGCTTCAATAACAAAACGTTTAGAAACTTCCTCGGCTACTCCAGTGAGATCTTTCCAAAGCAGAAAACTGGGATACAATATCTTGTTTATTGTGTATTAGCTTTAGAAATATCCCTCAAAGACAGGTGTTTAGTGTTGTTTAGAAGAATAATTTTGCATATTATAATCTTTAAAATTTGTCATATTTATGGAGAAATCTTAGATGTATGTGCATAATTGTAATTCCTTTTTAAATAAGCTTGCTTCTGAAATCAGTGGGAGTCTCACTAAGACAAGGATGGTATAGAATCACTGTGACACTCTAAGTAGAGTTTCAAAGAAAGGAAGCAACAGATTTTAGATCTCTTATTTTTCCAGCACTGGCTTTATAGCTAGCACCAACTGTACCTCTCATACAGCACACCCCAAGCTGCAAACCTACACCAGTTAAAAATTAAGTTCTTCTGCCATTTGATACAACCATCCCACTAATGGGTATATATCACCCCAAAATTAAATCATCATATAAAAAAGATACCTGCACACTCATATGTTTATTACAGCACCATTCACTATAGCAAAGTTATGGTATCCACCTAAGTGTCCATCAGCTGATGACTGGATGAAGAAAATGTGGTAATATATACAATGGAATACTAGTCAGCCATAAAAAATGAAAAAATGTCTTCTATAGCGACATGGATGGACTAAGCGAAAAAAATCAGAAATGAAAAGGCAAATACGACATGTTCTCACTAATAAGTTAAGCTAAGTATGTGTACACGTGGACATATAAGAGTGTGGACTAACAGTCGCTGGAGACTTGGAAGGGTGAGAGAGTGGGAGGGGGTAAAGGATGAGAAATTACTTAAGGGGTGTAATGTACACTCTTCAGGTGATGGTTACATTAAAAGCTCAGGCTTCGCTACTATACAATATATCCATGTAACAAAACTGCACTTGTACTTTTTAAATTTATACAAATAAAAAAATTTAGTTCTTTTTTTATCTTGGAAGAGTGAATCATCTTTTTTTTTCCTTTTTTTTTTTTTTTTTTTTTTTTGAGACAGTCTCGCTTTGTCACCCAGGCTGGAGTGCAGTGGTGCGACCTCAGCTCACTGCAACCTCTGCCTCCTGGGTTCAAGTGATTCTCCTCCCAAGTAGCTAGGACTACAGGTGTGTGCCACCACATCTGGCTAATTTTTGTATTTTTAGTAGAGATGGGGTTTCACCATGTTAGCCAAGATGGTCTCGATCTCCTGATCTTGTGATCTGTCTACCTCAGCCTCCCAAAGTGCTCGGTTTACAGGCGTGAGCCACCGCGCCCGGCCCATTTCCAAAAGTTTTAAATCGATCCAAGCCTTTACTTAACTGTCATTTTGCCCATTAAAAATATATGAAGGTGAGGACTCAGGTTTTACCACGAAATTCTTTTCCCCTACTAGATCCTAGCTTCCTAAACTGTGTTATAATGTATGACTACATTTCAATTAATTAAGATGTTGAGCTGGAAATGCTAAAAATTCTTGAAAAGCTTGGTTAGATGACTTCAGCACATTCCAGTATACAAGCTCACCTGCACATCATGAAAGTTTAAGGTACTAAATTTTAAAAAATGACAAGGTGATGAACTTCAGCACAGAAAAACAATGCAATACTACACTTGGGCCAGCAGATGGCTCTCTCCAGCCCATGGCATGAACCAAGATGGTAAGTGTAATCATGCGGTCCACTGGACCATTTAAGGGCACAAATCATGAGATTACACCATCAGAATACTTATGTTTCTGTGAAGTAGAATAGAGGGATCTAAAAATATATAAAAATCAATGAAAAATAAGTGTGTTGCTTTTTTGAAAATTATACTTAATATGCAAGATCTAACAGCACAGGAGGATTGATCTTATTCAAAATGGTAAATAAAAGGATTCTTCACTAACGATCAGGAGGAGAAGAATGTCCAAGTTCAGACAGAAAGAAAGTTGAGGAGGAAATGGTAGGTGAGAAAATAGAAACAGAGGCTTATTACAAAAGGAAAGAGAGAGCTCAGCACATAAAGAATAAAGTTAAGGCAGGTTTGATGCATTTTTAGAGGTAAAAAAGGCTTGTACAGGTTAGTGAAGAACATGGGGAGAAGGGCAAGAAACCACGTGCACCTACCATGGCAATGCAATACTGCAAGTCTATCAAAGGACAACCAACTAGCAGGTTAAGAACTCCACTTTGCCGATTATGATGAACATTAAAAAGAAAAAAAGGAAAAATTAAAAGTGATAGAATATAAAAAAATTCTATCCCAGCCTGCATATATTAAAGGTCTCACTTCAGGAAACTACATACCCACATGTACAAATATGTATGCTGGGCCCTAAGGTAACAGGTATTTCCCCCTGTGGGTTCTAATAAAAAGGTCTGAAAGCTATGGAAATATTAAATGTTCCCCCAGTGCCCCACCTCTCTCTCAAGCTAATAATACCAGCTACAAAATCTCCAAAACAGAAATGTAACTGTCAAAAGTGAGATCCCAAAATCCCCGAAGGGAAACAGGGCAAAACATACAACATAATATTTAATAAACTATGTAAATTATGAAGCAGAAGTCAGGGCCAAGGAAGATGCAATATAATGTCATTAGAGAAAAGTCTAACTACCAGGTGCGACTCTCAGTCCCATCTCTGGCATCTTCTCCCACCCTGAATAAAGGGATGCTGGGGTGCTGAAGGGGAGCTGGCAGGAGAGACAGCAAGGCTGGGGATGAGGCACATGGCAGGACCTACAGCATCTCTCTGGGAAGGAATTGGTGAAGGTCCAGAGATGGGAGTGGAGTGAGGAGAAAGGTAATACATTCAACGTCAAATCCTATCACCAAGTAGAGGACGGGACATGTAATACGCCCTTTTATTAGTGTTTGCTGAAGGTGTCAGTAGGTCTCAGTAATACCAGCAGTTTTATTACAGGAAGTTAGTGACTAAGCAGGTATGATAGTTCGGAACTTCTTATTCCAAGGTCATCACCTGCCATCATTAGAAAATGGGAGTGCTGCTGCTTTTCACGCCATCCTCACAATCTTTGTGACTGTCAGACACTTCAGTGGCCACCTGTAAGCTACACTGTGCTCCCCTGGAACTAGCTCTTCAAGAATTTCAAAGACGTTTGTTTGGTTTCCAACTGGAAACCAATCTGACACTTAGAAGGTCAAAGACAAAAATGAATGGGTGCTCAAGGACATAGGGTGCTCAAAGATGAAGAGGTTTCAAAGAGGTTTCAAGGTAAATTTCTCAGCGCCATGATGACAGGCTATACAGAGGCCGCGTCAGAACTTGCCAATGATGTTCACAGTTGCTTTGGGTGGAGAGTTTGCTTTTGTTGGGTATTTTTGGCTTGTATAATTGGTTTATTTGGGGCTTATGTACATTTAAAAGAACCTAATAGCAGCACACACCTACAACCTATTTACTACGTGCCATGTACTATTCTAGGCATTTCCAAGTTTTAACTTATTTAATAAATGTATACACAACTACTAATCTCAGTTACCTGTTCAGTGGTTTATTCCGTTCCACTAAAAGTATCTCTGTTTCTTCCATGTTCCTCCTGCAAAATATAAAGAGAATACCGTTAGTGATTGGCATAAACGCACACAAAATGTTCTACGTTATTATTTGCTATTTTCCAAACTTGGAGTGCCAAAAGGGTTTCATTAAACTTTACTCAATTATTTCAGCTGCCTAATTTTACTGAGTTCCTAAATAGAATCTTAAGAAGACATCATTACTACCTACACAGATAATAAGAGATTTGAAAAACAACTTACAGCTTCATAAGAAATTAAGGTGACACAATCAAAAGTTAGATACACAGGGAAACAAATTAGAATAAGAATCTCCTGGATTTTGAATCCTTCTACATATGATATGCCTTTTCAAACCACACTCCTTGTGAAGTTCTTTTTCAGGTGGGCAGTACCTTTCCTTGCTAGGTGAAATAACTGCTATTCTAAAGATAAAAACCATTGATTTGGTTTTAAAGATTTACTTAAAATTAAAAAAAAAATTATAAAGGGAAGCCTTTATCAAAAAAGAGGTTATTCCCCAGAAAAGGTAATTGTTCAGAATCTCTGGCAGGTAACATTTACCGTTGGGAACGCATGAATGTCTAGGTTCTGTCCCTGAAATCTCTGGCTCCCAAAGTCTCTCTCACTAAGGTTCCACAGATGATCACGTTGATCAATACCGCTTCATGCTAACAAAGCTCACAAGAGACTGAAAAAGCCAAAATGCCCAAGTATTCACTTATAATGAAAAATGCAATTGTCAGATATGCCGGACACCTGCTCCATCCAGTTTGGAAGCCAATAAATCCTAGGCATAAGCACCTCATAGGCAAGCAAAGATTAGGCCACACTAACAGCAGATTGCTCAGTGAGCATATCAGAGCAGTCACCACCAGGATGCCAATGGACTCCAAAACAATCTCTCTAGCCAAGCATTCTTCTGCATTCTCTACCACCACCATCCTAGTCCAAGCTGCCATTGTTCTTTCTCCTGGAAAAAACACAAAACACTTCTTGCCGTCTTCCACTTCCGTACTTTCTCCCTTCCAATTCATGATCCACAATGTGTCCAGAGTAAACCCTTTGTTTGTCGGTCTGTCTGTTTGTTTTGGAGACAGGGTTTCACTACGACACTCAGGCTGGAGTGCAGTACTAGAGTCACAGCTCACTGCAGCCTCAAACTCCCGGGCCCAAGCGATCCTCCCACCTCAGCCTCCCGAGTTGCTGGGCTGCAGGTATGACTATGCCTGGAACAAAAAAAAAACCTTTTAAAATAGAAAACGGATCGTGGCTCAGCCCTATCTGTAGTCTTTAGTGCTCTGCATTGGTCTATGACAAACACAGAGTGGGGACTCTCCCTCATCGTCCTCTCACTTCAGCCACGCTGGTCTCTTCGCTCCTATGAATGCACAAGATCACTCAACACCGCAGAGATTTCCCACACCTTATTTTCCCTGCTTGGAAATTAATGCACGTATTCTGCCCTCCCTCCCCTGACACACATGCCTACCCAGGAACCTGCTCACCCTCACTCTAGTTACATGATCCCACCACTAGGACAAATTCCCCTATGCTAAGCCCCCAGGACACCTTGACCTTCTCCACCAGAGCACTTGGACAGTTTGTAGCTACCTGTAACTGTGCATTGCACAATTACTTAATTTAGGTCTCCACAAGGGTGGACACGGAGTTCATTTTATTAGCATGTTCCCCAGTATTGACTACTCAACAGATGCGTTCTTGAATGAATGGTGGCTTCGGGCTAACAGAATCTGTTGCATGCATTGCCAGAAACAGGGATAATTCTGCCAGACAGACACAGGGCTCTGCTGAAGAGGCTCCACCCCCACAGTGCACGCCCCCATCCCTGGGTCACCAGTAATTAGACGGGCATTGTCTACGTTCAGTTCTACAAATTTTTGTTGCCTATACTCCCATGGCCAAAATAAATCTTCAGATACTAAAAAAGAAAGAGCACAAAGTTCAAGTCACATTTGGGTGGCAACCCAGCAGAGAGGACTCACGGAAGTGGGTTACTAAGAAACATCATAAACAAAAAGGAAAACAAATTTCAGCCCAAGGAAGTCCTTGATGAAACAACCCTGGTGAGTGGATACACAGACACACACAGACCAAAGCAGTGGCTCTCAGAGGAGGGTGCGTGAGAGCCCAAGGTTGCCGCGGGATGCCACCACAGCCAGGGGGCCAACGGCAAGGCAATGTGAAGATCCCCGAAGGAGGCCCCACTCCCTGCCCCTCCTCCGACCGCCAGGGCCTGCCCCGCATGCTTGACACCCAGGAGACCTGTTGTGCACTGAGTGTTCGATGCGCTCCCATTGGCCTAACAAATCAACACTTAATGGGCATTTCCTAACTCACCGAGTGTTTTAAACGGCTCACAGCTGTGGTTCATTTTTATAAGATCTTCTAACATTTCAGTCTTCTTAGCAATAGGGATGAGAACAAAACTGGAGGGAAGAAACCCCTTAATACACTTGGCTCTAAATTCGTATCTAGTTATGGGGTTAGAGAGGGTCAATTTCACTCATCCATTCAAAACAGTGTGCACTGCAAATAGTGTGCACCTCATTCTAGGTGGTGTGGCTATGTACCGAACAAGACAAAAGGCCTTTTCAAGGGATAACGTTCTGGAAGGAGACTGACAATAAATGCTGAAGTAAAAGATAAGACCCATCAGATGACAATACGTAATATAAAGAAAAGTAAAGCAAGAGAGGGTGACAGAGAATGTGTGTTCGTTGGGGGTGGGGGCTGGGAGTCAACATTTAAACAGGGTGTCCAAGGAAAGCCTCTCTGAGAAATTGCCGCATGCGCAAAGATCTGAAGAATGCGGAGAAGAGAACCGTGCAGACATCTCGGGAAGAGTAGTTCCAGACAGGATCAGCCAGTGCGAAGACCCTGAGGCTGAAGCATGTGGCCTGTCTTGGGGCATAGGAGGGAACAGCAATAGGAGGTGAGATCAGAGAGGTGAGCGAGGGGTTGCAGAGGACAGCACTAAAGACCGGTGGCTTTTATTCTGAGCACCACAGAATGCACCGGAGGTGATGCCTGCAACAACCTGCCCCGTGGAATGCTACAGAGGGGCCAGGCCATCATCTGGCTATGTTTAGAACAAACTGAGAAGAAGGCAGGCAGGCAGCTAAGCTGGTTACTGGGCTACCGGACAATGCAGAGACGAGAGGACAATGGCGTGGACCAGGAGCAGCAGCACAGCTGCTTCCATAGAGCTGTTGGGGTCTTCAAAGAACGTGAAGCAAAGGCCCTGGAGCTAACTTTCTCTTCCCGAAGGGCTGATTTTAGTGCTCTTAATGCTTTTCTCACTAACCATGCTTTTTTTAAAATTAGTATTTTTATAAAATAAAATTTAGTGGGTTTTAATCTACTACAAAAGTAATAGATGATCAGGCTGGGAGTGCTGGCTCATGCCTGTAATCACAAGACTTTGGGAGGCTGAGGCAGGTAGATCACCTGAGGTCAGGAGTTCGAGACCAGCCTGGCCAACATGGTGAAACCCTGTCTCTATTAAAAATGCAAATATTAGCTGGGCGTGGTGGCGTCTCCCTGTAGTCCCAGCTACTCGGGAGGCTGAGGTGGGAGAACTGCTTGAACCCCGGAGGCGGAGGCTGCAGTGAGCTGAGATTGTGCCACTGCACTCCAGCCTGGGCAACAGAACAAGAATGTGTGTCAAAAAAAAAAAAAAAAAAAAAGAGAAATAATAGGTTATCCCTAAAGAGAGTGCAAAAGGTCAAACAAACCAAACCTTTGCATCACATTATAAAAGAACTAAAAATACAAATACTTCTTATACTGATCACCACCATATATTACTGTGAAATAAGAGATTTCTTCCCTAGGCAAGGAGAAAGATCATTCTATACACCCTAAACAGTTTTCCACTTGAAGATCTATTGACACACAGCAGGACAAACACCAAACAGAAGTACTGTATTCTTAAAACCAAGCTTAGGTCAGTATGGGCTAACCCTGAAATCTCTCAGCTGTGCCAGTTTGAGATTAATGAACAAATGTTTGGTCCATCACCATAAAACCACACTTTTCTACACAAAGACTTTCTCTCAGAGAAACCCATGATGATGACATAATGTGAAGTAAAATTTAGGTATAGTAAAATTCTTTAAAAATGAAATAAAGTACCCTTTTTAGTCTCTGCATTGTTGATTAATACCGGGGTTTAAAAAAAAAAAAAAAAAAAAAGGTAGGGGAAGCTCAGTGCACAGAACTGTCGTCATGGAAACCATCCTGCTCCAGGGCAGGGGAACAGCTCTTCACTTGCTGTCATCAAGCCACCAAGCGTCTCATCTGTGTGGGAGACAAAGCCACGTCCTCCCCAGTCAGAACACTGCTGTATAGTCAAACATGATCACTTGGCCTGGTGGTCTGTAGCTGCAAACCAAATTAAGCTGTGATTCTCAACATTTGACTCCTATGACTGATATGCCGTATTTGTTTACCTTCTCTCAAACAGAGCTACCAACAGATCAGTCACTCACGGTGACTTGGGCAGTGTCAATTGTCCACTAGAGTAGAGCTTTTCACACTCTGAGGCGCACATGAGCTGCCTGCAAGTCCTGTTAAAAAGCAGATTCTTATACAGATAACTCATGGAAACATCACCTGTGCGGTAACATATGTCTCTCAACTCCTCTGAGCTATTTTAGTTCATCCTAATTCATTTTTCTTAACATTTTTCAGACACGTATTTCTTTCTCAGTTTGCTTCTGAAGTATAAAAGATAATAGTGGTGAGATTGGAAAAACAAAAAATGCTGTTTCTCCATGACAGGGATCCCCAGCAGAGGATCACCTGAGCCGCAGTGAGTCCCGACTGTGCCACTGCACTCCAGCCTGGGCGACAGAGTGAGACTCACGCAAAACAAAACGCACAAACAAAACAAAACAAAAGGCTCCCCAGCATGTCTGTGAGCAAGACCTACTTTTTGTTTCTCTGAAATCCTAAGATGACCAAAAGAAGATGGTGTGCTGGAGAGAGGCTGAATGTTTAAGTCAGGAAGCAAAGGAGAGGCTGGTCTAACACCCAGGATTGTTCTTATCCCTTGGGAATCCAGTAAAACCACAGAGGGAGGAACCTGGCAGAAAGGAAGCCAACAGAGAAGAGCCTATAGTGAAAACAACTGCTTTGGAGATCTATAAGATAAATCAAGGAGATCATAATCAATTGTTTATAGACTCTGAAAGGACCAACAGGAATTACCATCGAGTTATGTAAAGAAAAAGCTATTACCCAACATCTATTAAGGAGGATAAACAAAGGTATGCACCGCTTGGGGCAAGATTTAAAGAAGCGTTAACACCACCTACCTACACAGGCACGTGGCAGAGAGCAGGCCGACTCATTGTGTGTGGATCCTGTGGCTTGAACACAAAGGTAAAATAGAAAAGGAGATGGATTTCGGCACAATATAAGAAACTACCTTCTTTTGTTGTTGTTGTTGTTCTTTTTGAGATGGAGTCTTGCCCTGTCTCCCAGGACGGAGTGCAGTGGCACAATCTCAGCTCACTGCAACCTCCACCTCCTGGGTTCAAGCAATTTTCCTGCCTCAGCCTCGCAAGTAGCTGGTATTACAGACGCACGCCACCAAGCCTGGCTAATTTTTGTATTTTTAGTGGAGATGGGTTTCACCATGTTGACCAGGCTGGTTTTGAACTCCTAATCTGAGGTGATCCACCCACCTTGGCCTCCCCAAGTGCTGGGATTACAGGCATGAGCCACTGTACCACGCCTCATCTGACAGGTTTTATAGTGGCAGTAAGAAGTGGCCTGTGTTGCATAATACAGACATACTTTCTAATAAAATACACTTGTCAGACACAGAACTTTTCTTTTTGCAAAGTAAGGAGTTCTCATTGTTCCTGAGATAGCCTCCACCTGCCATGCTGTTTCTCTCCAGTACTGTACCCTGCGAACATGCCAGGCTGCCTGCCTCTGCCCAGACAGTTTCACAACTGCAAGCATCACAGGGGCTGTGCCTAGCACACTTTTCATTTCTGGGCCATCCGTGCAAACTTGAAAGCCTAACTAACCTTTGTGAATCTCACGTTCTCTCTCCTCCTAGCGGAGTGGACCGTCTGCTTCTCACTCAGGGAGCCTCAGCATACCTCTCCCCTAACCCATTCTCCCTCTGCTGTAAATATCTAGACTGTCGGGTCTCTGAGGGCAGGGTCACATGCTATTTCCCCATGTATCCTCAGTGCTGACCATAGTGTCCTGGACACAGCACACATGCATGGTGGGAGGAAGGAAGAGGAGGGGAAGGAGGCAAAGAATGAGATGGTGATGGCTAAATTATCACCTGCTGTGCATACTGCAGAAGGAGCTGATACTGGGAGGAATGTTAATTTGAATAAACTTATTCTACACAGAAAGACATGAATTACTGTGGCCTTCAGTAAGTTATCATTTTATGTATGTTTACAATCCATTTATTGTTATTTAGCTGTTTAGAAATAGTCCCAAATATTTTGCTTTTACTCATACACATCAAAGTATTTAGCAGTATAAATAAAGTCTAAGTTTGTATGTAAGAAACAAACCATCTTTCGTAGCTACTGAGACGCCTGCAGAAAATGCGTCCATGGCATTTCACTGCAGTTTGGAATAAGTCCTCTGTATCATAAAAGCAGCACAGGGGCCTTTACTGGCAAAACTGCCCAGCGACGCTTTGTAAGCCTTTATGTTAGAATGCTGAATATCAGAAAGTGAAGTGAGCCTTCAAACTTTCCCTAATTCACGCAAGCCTTTACCTTAATTACTAACTAGTACCAACAAGGGAAGTTTTATTTTATTTATTATTTATTTATTTATTTTTTTTTAAGACAGAGTTCACTCTTGTTGCCCAGGCTGGAGTGCAGTGGTGCGATCTCTGCTCACCGCCACCTCTGCCTCCCGGGTTCAAGCGATTCTCCTGCCTCAGCCTCCCAAGTACCTGGGGTTACAGGTATGCGCCACCATGCTTGGCTCATTTTGCATTTTTAGTAGAGACAGGGTTTCTTCACGTTGGCCAGGCTGGGATTACAGGTGTGAGCCACCACACCCAGCTGGGAGGTTTTATTTTACCATTTGTTTTCTTAAGACTCTAATACCTAAGGCAACAACCTGTTTTAAGACGTGACTGTATGGTCTCTGTGGCTGCTTCCCACAGGGCCACTTGAGCGGGGCTTCTCAGCGGTGTGGCATGCAGGTGAATACATCTGGGACCTACAGAGCCTTTGCTAACAACGCTCATTAGTATTCGGAAGGATTGCCCTCAGGCACGCCTCTCCCTCCGACACCTGCACGTCCCAGCCGTCCTTGCTGTCTCCCCATTCTTCCCCGCGCGTGGCCTATCAGCACACTCCAACCTCACCTTCCTGGCAGCCTGGTTCCTTTAGTCCCACTTTCTATCCTGGGTTACTGCCCTGAGGGGCAACAGAATGGTTTCTGGACTCGTCGGACACCAAGACCAACACAGGCTGCCGTGGGGTGGGGCCTAAAGGAGGAGGCTGGAGCCTCCATGCCCTGGGTAGCAGGGTCATGTGCACGCGAACTGTCAGCACCGTTTCGTTGTGTTACTACAGCGAGAAACACAATGGATCTTCTCTATCATGAGAACACCATAGTCTAGGAGGAGTGAATGAAGGTCTTTATTTCATGAGACTTAAAAAAAGCTAGCTTCAAGATACAGTTTTAGAAACATTAGCAGATGTCTTCTGGTCTAACATCAATTCATAAAGCAGATCTTAAAACTGATTTTAGCAGATCTTTTCTATAAAATACTGTATTTATAAAATGGAGAAAAGGTAGGATGGTGCAGCAAATTAGCCAAACGCAGATTGTATCATATTGATTTCATCTGACATGACTTTTTTTCTTTTATTAAGATGGAGTCTTGCTCTGTCACCCAGGATGGAGTGCAGTGGCGTGATCTCGGCTCACTGCAACCTCTACCTTCCAAGTTCAAATGATTCTCTTGCCTCAGCCTCCCAAATAGTTGGGACTACAGGCACATGGCACTACACTTGGCTAATTTTTTTTTTTTTTTTTTTGTATTTTTTGCAGAGAGGGGGTTTTACCATGTTGGCCAGGCTGGTCTCAAACTCCTGGGCTCAGATAACAGTCCTGCCTCGGCCTCCCAAAGTGTTAGGATTACAGGCATGAGCCATCACATGTGGCCCTAGCCCATTTTCTTATTTCTTTTTATTTATTTATTTACTTTTTTGAGGTGGAGGCTCTCTCTATTGCCCAGGCTGGAATGCAGGGGTACACAATTTTGGCTCACTGCAACCTCCGCCTCCTGGGTTAAAACAATTCTCCCACCTCAGTCTCCTGAGTAGCTGGGATTACAGGTGCACACCACCACATTCTGCTAATTTATTTTTATTTTTTTTTTATTTTTAGCAGGGACAGGGTTTCGCCATATTGGCCAGGTTGATTTTGAACTCCTGACCTCAAATGAGCCACCCGGCCTTCCAAAGTGTTGGGATTACAGGCGTGTGCCACCACCCCCAGCCTCATGTGACAGATTTTAAAGTGGCAGTAAGAAGTGGTCTGTGTTCCACAATACAGAATATGAATCTACTCCCAACTGAAAAATACTCATGTGTCACCCAACCAGGACGGCTGCCGCAGGAACAAAAGCAAACACGCTGAGAACTAAGATGTCTGGCGGTTACTCTGGATTTGTGGCTGTTTGTACATAGGGTCTAATTTTCAAAACAAAATCTTCTTTGCTTGTTTTGCCAAGTTCTTTCTTATATTTGAGCAAATTACAGGGGAAATAAGATGGTAAAATTCAAGCTAAATTCTTGCTGCCTCCAAGATTCCTCAGCCATGAAGGAGAAGGATGCTATTTCTTAGGAAAATTCATCCGGATTCTGACTATAGGGCAAAGGCCGCCAAATCATAGTCCCCCGCCTTGAAGCCTGGTTAACTTATTAGAAAGAATTCAGACCTGTAATCCCAGCACTTTGGGAGGCCAAGGCAGGAGGATCACTTGAGCCTAGGAGTTTGAGACCAGCCTGCAACATAGCAAGACCCCCGTCTCTACAAAAAATAAAAAATTAGCCAGGTGTGATGACACATGGCTATAGTCCTAACTACCTGGGAGGGTGAGGCAGGAGGACGGCTGGAGCCCAGGAGGTGAAAACTGCAGTAAGCCAAGATCGTACCCTGCCCTCCAGACTGGGCAACAGGGCGAGACCTTGTCTCCAAAAAACAACAACAAAAGATTCACCCAACAACCACTATCCCAACAATAAGCCTAGAGTCTGTTACCTGGGAAGAAGGTAGAGGAAAAAGAGAAACACTTGAGCGCTCACTCAGTCCCTGAAGTTTCATGCTTCCCTTTAGAGTGGCCCCTGGGGAAGCTGTAACTGATGGTGATGAGACGGGGCTCAGAGCGCTTAAGTTAAACTTTCTAAGCTCAGCTCCGCCCTGGGGGCTTTCCGCCCCGCAGAGCGTTCTTCCAGTCCTACTCCACACCACCTTCACCTTCACTTTCCACAGGAGAGGCCCCACGTCACCTGTTCTACAGAGAAAAGAAACGCACATCTGCCCCAAGAAGAGGACCTGACTAGGACAACGGATTCGATGTTTATAGGCTAACAAGAAAAAGGCTAAACAAGCCAGGAACCAATAATTAGGTGTCAAACAGACCCGAAAGGCCCAATGTGGCCTGCTTCACAGGAAGTGGAACACATGCCCCTCTTTGAAGCGCCAGGTTGAAACGCTCCCACAAATCCCCTCAGGATGCAAACAGGAGATGCCCTGGCAGCCACTCCCGGCTTCCAGAACTGGGAGGGGCTAAAGCCCTGGCCCAGTGGGAAGGCAAGAGGCCCCTATTCCTGGCTACGAGAATCAACAGAAATTCAGGCACTTCCAGAGAGCCTTGCCGAAGACCTCGAAACGCAGGAACCACGTGGGGAGCCCTAGTATTCATCACCATGTCTTGTATGTTGCCCTCCGGGCTTGGCAGAAATTTACACGAGTGCACTACCAAGGGGCAAATAAGGAGCCAAACTGGGGAAGGTAAACGGGAGCCATGGCAGTTCTTGGAGTCAGAGAAAAGAGAGAAAAAGCATTTTTAAAAATGAAAAGATCTGTTTGTCGAGAACTGAGAATGCAAAGAAATGCCCAGAAAGCTCTGGTGAGCTGCAGGAGAAGGGTGACAGCACAGTCTCCAGCGAGAACAGAGAGTTCGCACAGTCTGGGCGTGTGCCTGCTTCCATTCCCGCCCACCCACAGTTTCTGGGGCAAACAAATTCTTGGCTGAGCAGGTATGCGTGGGAGGCCTGATTTATTTTCCAACCATTAGAGCTTTGCCCAGAACTACTTAATCAGGATTTTTCAAGGTCATACATTCAAATATGATGTTATAGCCTTACAAAACAAATAACTCCGGGGTCTATGGGGCAGGAGGATAGGGGTGACAGGAAGGGGAGAAGAAATTAACCACTCTCGTTTGATCTACCTTCCCCTCCATTCTCACCTTGGATCTACTATGTATTCTCAGGAAACTGACACACTGGACAAATGCATAGTTAAAAGAAATAATAGTTAATTATAATGCTCACTCTAAAGCAGGCACAATTCTAAATGCTCTGTACATATTGTATATATTGACTTATTTTTATATATTGATTGTATATATTGACTTATTTGACCCTCACAATAATCCTTTGAGGGGGATACTAGTATCACTGTCCTGCCTATTTTACAGATGCACAGAGAGGTTAAGTGACTCGCCCAAGGACCAACAGCGGACGGCGCACTTAGTAGTTTGTGCATTCGCACTCTGCTATACTCCCTCTCTGTGCTCAGCTGTCCTGTCCGTCAACAAGACAAAACTGTAACAAGAGCTTGTTTCACTCATGGCATATCTAAGTAATTTTCCCAGTGCGGTAGAGTTTTCTTTAAGCTACTTTCTTGAAAGGAATACTATCAGAGCCAGTCCCAACCTCAAAGTACAGATGAGACAGTACCAATCCCACTGCTTAAAAAGCCATATAATTTTAGGAGGGCTGGAAAAGTCCCAAGGCACAAACCACAACTCACTCTCACACAGAGCCTGATTAGAAGCAATTCTAGGCAAAGCTTTGATCCTGTTAAAATGTACAAGCTTCTGGGAGGCGTTGACTTTATGCTGTTATCGCTTTGTAGGAAAAGTTACATTGTTATCTTTTTAAATACAGTTTAATGATAAGAACTTTAGGTGGTTTCCAGGCATCTGATTCACCTGTCCAGTTCTGACTTGTTCCCTCCTGGATACCTGGAACTCTCCAGGACCTGGCACGTAATTAAATGCTCAATATTGCCAGCATGGGCAAATGAACAAATGAATGAATGGCTGTAATTCCTGCAGATGCTAGGTTTAGGGCAAACTCATGACGCATGTAGGTAGCAAAGGGGCAGCCAAGTTAGGCAAAATTATCACATGAAAAGTCTAAATGTGAACAAGTAAATCTCTGCCAGAGTAACAAATGAAAGAAACCTCAGGCATGTTTATGTAGAGAATGGTCTTTTTAAAGATTATATTTTACAATGCATTTACAGTAAAGCTAATATACCTAATGAAGAAGGTAGTTTAAGAAGGTAGTGATGTCTATGTAATTTCTCTCTGAAATTACACTCTTCCAATAGGTAACATGCCCTAGGATATCACCTTTTCTCCCAACAGTCTCATATCCAAGTCCTTTGTGTATTCAAAGTCCTCCCCAATTGCCTTATTTTCCAGGAAATGTTCCCTGGCATTCGGACCAGAAGAGGTCACTCCCCAGTTTGCACTCAAAGGTACTTTGTTCTTTCTTCTTGTATACAAATTCATTTTCTGAACTGCTGTTACTTTTCTCATCGGCGTTACCAGCTTGTCCCTAACTTCATCCCTGTCTTCCACGGGGAACCACACATTCTTCCTAACGTAAACCAAGCATCTAGTAAAAATCAGGCTGTTTTTTAAAAAGACTCCTATGGAAGTGCTCCAAGGATACCACAAACATCTGTTTCTGATGTTCAAATACGTTTTGGATATTTTTTAAGCTTTAATTTGAGAAAACAACCTGAAATGATTTATACGCAAACTTTTCATGCACTGCAGATCTCTGCCCATGAATGTGGTATCTGCCAATAAACCCGGCCAGGCCGGGCAACCTTGCAGCCCTCACAGGAGGCTGCTCTGCCCACTCTGTGCTCGCTAACATGCATGTGAACTTCTCCTAGGTGTGACACTGGTGAGTGCAGCTGTAGCTCCAACTCGGTCCTGTGAGAAATACCTGCCTGCACAGTCTGCTGTCCTAAAGTTGTTCAAGCAAGCACACGAATACAGAACCACACCCTAGCGTGGGCTTCCACTAAATGCCAGGCAAGGCTCAGGGCCATCTGTACGGCCTTGCTTTCATGGCACCATAAAGTCCTTTGTGATAATATCCTACTTGAGAGAGAGTAAATATTTATTCTAAGAATTAGATGTTTCCTGTATGACTAGATTTATGATAAGGAATGTGAGCAACTGTTTCCTAAGTTCAGTTACAGGGTTACAGCTTTGAAACAAATACTCCCCACCTTCCCCTGGCTGAACTAACGTGTATCCTGGGATCCTACGGCAAGGTATTGAAACCAAACCAAACACTCTGTTATGATTTGCAAACAATTATTTATAAAAACAGACTTTTAAAATATCCTGCATTTAAAGCAAAGTACACAATTTTATTAAAGATAGAAGATGAAGTAAATATAGCGATTGTAAGTTAACACCTGACTTAAAATGTTGTCTTTTTAACAGCCTCATTGTTCTGACACTACCGTAAATAAACGTCATAAACTTCAAAACATTTGTACTAGTGAGATAGCACTTTATCTGTTTTATATGGTAGAGTTTCATGTAAGATTTCAGTTAATGAAAGGATTCACTGCTTCCCGAAAGTTTGAAAACTTCTCTTATGTTCCTTAAACACCAGTTTACGGAATGGCTGCAAGAGACCTGGAGAGCTTCTTTTTTTTGTTTGTTTTTGTTTTTGAGATGTAATCTCACTCTGTAGCAAGGCTAGGCTGGAGTGCAGTGGCATGATCTCGGCTCACTGCAACCTCCACCTCCTGCCTCAGCTTCCCAAGTAGTTGGGACTACAAGTGCAGGCCACCACATCCAGCTAATTTTTGTATTTTCAGTAGAGATGGTGTTTTACCCTGTTGGTCAGGCTGGTCTCAATCTCTTGACCTCGTGATCCACCCGCATCGGTGTCCCAATGTGCTGGGATTACAGGTGTGAGCCACTGTGCCCGGCTGAAGATGTTCTAATATATGTGTTCCTGGACCACTTCCTCAGTCATTTCCTTGTAATAGGTATAGAGGTAAGAATCTAAACTTAGATTTATTTAACTCTGCCTTAAAATTTCACTCACAATCAATAGCCAGAGCATCTGAGTGGCCTCCAGAATCTCTCACTTTAGTTAAAATTTGGACAAAGATGGTTTCTCTTATATTCGGTCCCTGTTCTGCATGATTTCTCAGAGTCAACATCAGGGTTTTTCAAGTATTTGCAGGCTCCTTCAGCACACCCGAGAGTTTGAGGACCATTAATATTTTTTTACTCTAATTTAATTTAATTTGAAGTTCTAGGATACATGTGCAGGATGTGCAGGTTTATTACATAGGTAAACGTGTGCCATGGTGGTTTGCTGCACCCATCAACCCATCACCTAGGTATTAAGCCGCTGGATTAGCTGTGTATCTTGATGCTCTCCCCTGCCCCCAGGGTATGTTATTCCCCTCCCTTGTGTCCCTGTGTTCTCATTGCAGAACCATTAATTTTTAACAGTGGTCATTGAATATCTCCTCCACATTGAGCTACACTTCCCAGGGGCCTCTGCAGTTCTGTGCTCTTTACAGTTTAAAAACCAGTTTCCTTGCTTAAAAATATGGAATTAAAACAGCAGTTGAGTGGAATCACAGATTTTTCAAATGGAAGGATACTCTGAAATGTAACTACTCTATGCTGATTTTTTAAGATAAGGGAAATATATTTAAGAAACATACCCAAGATGAAACAGATTGTTGGCAAAGTGAGAACTCAGTAGCTGGGTTTCCATGGTTTACTAAATAAAGGGATCTAAGTTCAAATTCACATTCTTCCACTCACTAGCTGCAGGCTCCTGATCCAATCCTATGAGCCACAATTTCCTTGTAGGTATAAACAGGAATAATATTATATAGAATATATTTTAATATATTATATATTTTAAAGAATATATTATATAATTCTATTTATGTTTTATATATTAATAGTTATATATTAGATATTATCTATATATCTACAGATATATAGCTATTCTATATTATATATAACATAATTATATTAATATAGTTATATATTATATATGATATATATTACAATACATAAGTATTGTAGTTATTTATTATATATAATAATTCTATATTAATATATAGAATATATTATTCTTGTTTAAACCTATAAGGATTGTTAGGTAAATTAAACTGAAGACACTTAATTGTCTTCTAGAATAGTTCTTGACTCCAATTAGTAAGCATACTACAAAGGTTGGTTATAAACAGATTTTTGCTGTGGTTTTAGAAAAAAAGAGGAGCATTCCCCAGGCATGAGGTAGACTAACCTGAGACCTTTGTGTTTTGAAGGCAGAGACTGAAGGAATTAGGTGCTGGAGCCCAGAGCTGCAAGTGTGAAGGCTGTGGGCCTGTGGGAACAAAGCTGGAAGTGACTCAATCCCTGGGGTTGATTTCCTCAGAACTGGGAGGAGAAAGGGTTAGGGTCCCATGAAGAGAAAAGCCATGACCCACTCACACACCTGCAGGAGGCAGGATTGATTCCAAACAAAGATGTTGTCAGAGTGGAGACCTCGGTGAACACAGGGTCGGGGGCACTCTGCAGAAAACCCCTGCAAAGCACTAACAGAGGTTTCCTTCAGAGAGGGTGCCAGGGGACTGGGCCAGATGCATGAACAGAGCAACCACAGATGGAGGAGGGTCAGGAGTCCCTCTTCCCCTCTGGCAGGGGGAGCGATCCCAACAATGAGAGTGGGTTTCCCACACACTCTAAAAAGCGGGAACCCTCATCAGATTTGATTTGATTCAGAAAAATGATTTAAATCAGGTTTAGCCTAAGGTCACGCAGCCAGTAACAGCAGAGCAAGAATCCAAATCCAAACCTGTCCGACTCCAAAGTCCTCACTCCTGTTGTTACCTACGCTGCCTCTGTGTGAGCAAACTTGTTCAAGCCTGAGTTCCACTAACAATAGATCACTGGCAGAGTCTTCTCAGGTGGAATTCGGTATGTAGTTTTTCAATTAAAAATATTTTCTAATTAAAAAATGTGTGGTTTTTGGCAGGGCTGTTTGGATGGGCTAGACCAAAGGGTTGTATTTACAATGGCTTCCCTCTCTTAAAGTTAGGAGAAACGACTATACTGTGAAGATTCTTTATTTTTTAAAAGGCACTGGTAGATCAAATGTATAGTAGTCCGCTGGGTTAAACTGAGCTCCTGCTCTAGGCCCAAGAGACCAAACCAAAATGGAGTCACTTATGCTGAAGTCCAGAGCCACCAAGTCGAAACTAAGTGGTTCAAAGAAATCAGGAGAGAGAGAGAATAGCCAAATCCCCAAGAAGGTCAGTTTTAGCTGGCATGATAAGGAAGTCCCTTCTGCTTTAACCTTTGTAAGGAAAATAACTTTGAAATGACCAATCACTTTTTGTTCACTGTTTCTGTTTTCTTCAGCCCTTTTCTGCCTATAAAACCAACCTCCTCTGCTCAGCTCATCATGACACCCACTGTATTTTATAGAACGAGGTGGTGCTGTACTTTCGAACAGCAAAGAAAAGCCAATTAGATCTTTAAGCTACTGTTGTTACATTTTGTTTTTTGACAGTAGGTCAGTCTTCGGTACCTCCAGAGATATGTTTAAACCAGATACAAGAAACAAAGTCCTAAAGAAATGAATCCACCCGAGTAAAAGAAGGATGGTCATACCTCTAGGCGTCCTTGTTCAGATGAAATCTTGGCGGTGCCCCGCAACCAGGCAGTTACACTGGTGAATATACCTGATCTTGTTTCCACCAGCACTCAGCTAATGCTGGCCTCCATACACCTCGGTTTTAGTGCACAATCTGATAGAAGCAGAAGTCCTGTTATATCCAGATATGGAGGGGTCTTGATAAGGAATCTCTGAGGGACTAATCCATTTGAGATAAGCCAAGGAACTTTTTTGTTTTCAAATTACAGCTATTAATAAAGGCCAGATTTATACAAATGAACTTAATGCCAAATCCGCCCCCAAAAGAGTTTTAAATTAAGATGTATTTTCTAGTGGTGAGATGAATGACTTGAGCATGTGTGAAAAGATCCTAAAAGAATGTATTTATTTACTTAATTTTTGGAGACGGAGTCTCACTTTGTCACCCAGGCTGGAGTGCAGTGGCACAATCTTGGCTCACTGCAACCTACACTTCCCAGGTTCAAGCGACTCTCCTGCCTCAGCCTCCCGAGTAGCTGGGATTATACAGGCGTCCGCCACCACACCCAGCTAATTTCAGTAGAGACAGCGTTTTACCGTGTTAGCCAGGATGGTCTCGATCTCCTGACCTCATGATCCGCCCCACTCAGCCTCCCAAAGTGCTGGAATTACAGGTGTGAGCCACAGCTTCCAGCCAAGATCCTAAAAGGATTTCTGTTTGTACTGCTGAAGGTCAATGACAAAAGTGAAAGGCCACCACATCCCACTGGGTGAGGAGATTAGTGAGCTTCTTGCCTAGGACAAAGACTTCAGCAGGGTTACTACCTACAGTAAAGACTTGTTGGTAGGCCAACAACAAGTTCCATATAGGAGCTTCTCGGAAATGCAGAGCCTCAGGCTCCATCCCAGAGCTACTAAATCAGAATCTTTCAACACGATGCCCCAGGATTGTCCATACACAGTAAAGTTTGAGAAGCACTGCACTTCAGTACCTTATTTAAGTAAACGAAGATGCACTATGCTTAAGTGTGATCAGTTTTCTGTTCTGTGATTTCAATCATCTATCAGAGCTTTCTCATAAACTAAATGTTCCTTAAATGTTTCAAAGGAAGAGACAGGGTATTTACTCTCCCTGGAAAAATGAGCTGATATTCATCAATCTGTAAAAGACTGACTCTAGATAAGCTGTGTCACGGCAATGATTTCCTTGATATATTTTAGTGCCATCAATGTTTTACTTTTATTTTTCTGTTTCTCATTGGCCCCAAATGATAGCAACTCTTAGAACGTTGAAAATATCCTAAACCCCCCCACATTAAAATTCTGTTTTACCTTTTACCGCCCTTTCTCCTTCTATATCAAGTAATCAATGGTGAGGTTAATGACTTCTTTTTTTTTGAGACGGAGTTTCGCTCTTGTTACCCAGGCTGGAGTGCAATGGCGCGATCTCGGCTCACCGCAACCTCCGCCTCCTGGGTTCAGGCAATTCTCCTGCCTCAGCCTCCCGAGTAGCTGGGACTACAGACGTGTGCCACCATGCCCAGCTAATTTTTGTATTTTTAGTAGAGACGGGGTTTCACCATGTTGACCAGGATGGTCTCGACCTCTTGACCTCGTGATCCACCCGTCTCGGCCTCCCAATGTGCTGGGATTATAGGCGTGAGCCACCGCGCCCGGCCAATGACTTCTTAAATACATTAATAAGGAGTTGGAGATGAACAAAATCTGTAAAACAGAAACATATTTTGGTAACAAAATTGTATCTTCCACTTGATCACCTCAATCTTCTTGCAATTCATCTATTGTCTAATTCAGATTTCTAAACCAGACCCTCCTTAGAACAAGAGACAAACTTTATTTTCTCTAGTCTTAGGTTCCCAGAGTGGCTATAAGTAAAGGAGAAGAATACTTAGGGTTTACCATGTAGATAAAACTTACAGATATCTGCAAAAAAATAGAATACCTTCTCTAACCACCTTCTGAATTACAGGAAAATTCTGTACTTTCAAATTTCATACAAATTTTAAGTTATGTTTAGGTGTGTCTGGATTGGGGACACCAAAAAAGGACGACTAGATTAACTAAATAAATAAATAGTACCACAAACAATAAAGGGAGCACTTGAGTGCACATTTACTTTAAAAAGTAGCTTTAGCCGAGGCGGGTGGATCACAAGGTCAAGAGATCGAGACCATCCTGGTCAACATGGTGAAACCCCGTCTCTACTAAAAATACAAAAATTAGCTGGGCATGGTGGCGCGTGCCTGTAATCCCAGCTACTCAGGAGGCTGAGGCAGGAGAATTGCCTGAACCCAGGAGGCGGAGGTTGCGGTGAGCCGAGATCGCGCCATTGCACTCCAGCCTGGGTAACAAGAGCGAAACTCTGTCTCCAAAAAAAAAAAAAAAAAAAATGTAGCTTTATCGGCCGTGTGCAGTGGCTCACACCTGTAATCCCAGCACTCTGGGAGATGGAGGCGGGCGGATCATCTATGGTCAGGAGTTTGAGACCAGCCTGGCCAATGTAGTGTAACCCCGTCTTTACTAAAAATAGAAAAATTAACCAGGCATGATGGTACGCATCTGTAGTCCCAGCTACTCATGGGGCTGAGGCAGAAGAATCACTTGAACCCACGAGGCAGAGGTTCCAGTGAGCCTAGATCATGCCACTGCACTCCAGCCTGGGCAACAGGGTGAGACTCTGTTTCTCTCTCATACACACAAAAAGTAGCTTTAACAAGGTGAAGACGTGAACTATACTGCACTGAAAACCTGAGACACCCATTCAATAAAAATATTTAATGAGCCACTCCTATATGGTAGTGTGGCATATTATCTTAGTGGTCCCCAAGGAACCATGCTTACTGGTGATCATACCCGTGGTGATGTCCTCCCACACCGACTCTGGACTGAACCAATGGGACATTAGAAAGCATGATGCAAGCAGAAGCTTCATGAGTGCTTGCATATTGGGGTGTGTCCAATAAAAGTATCTCTCAGAGTATCTAGTGATATTCGGCTGCCATATTAAAAAAACTAAGCAAGCCATGTAGATAGACGGGTCAAAAGCTCTCTGCTGTCCCCTTCAAGTGCTCGACATGTAAGCTATCTTGGATATTTCAGCCCCAGTCACTATTTTACTGTAACCACTCTAGATAATCAGAGAGAGTGGAAGAACCATCCACTTGAGCCCTAGCCAACTCACAGACTAATGAGCAAATAAAATGATAGTTGTATGAATACAGTAAATTTTAGGATGGTGTGTTATAAGTGATAGAAAATCCAAACAACTAGGAAAGAGGATCTGGCTTAGAATGCAAGAGACTTCAAAGAAATCTAGATTTATTTAGATTTTTAAAATCTTCAGTAGTTTGTTTTTTCTATTTTCTGTTTATGACCTATAAAAGATAAGCTCATACTTAAGAGAACATTAAATGGTCTAAGTAGGAAGTCATTATAATCTACTTGAAATAATGCTGCTTTTTACATTATTACAGAATTTTCTATCTCTTATCAAATGCACACTAACTTCTAAGACAGAGATTCTTAATTTGGGGGGAGCAGAGGAGAATTCCCTCTGAGAATCTAACTATATATATATGTGTGTGTGTGTCCCATAAACACATAACTGCATATATAGTTTTTTAAATTTCTGTTTCTTTTTCTTTTTTTAAGAGATAGGGTCTGACTATGTTGTCCAGGCTCATCCTGAACTCCTGAGCTCAAGTGATCCTCCAACTTCAGCCTCCCAAGTAGCTGGGACCATAGATGTACACCATCAGTCTCAGCTTTACATATATAGTTTTAAGGACGACCATCTATGAACTCCAGGTTAGGAATCTATGTTCTCTAAGGAAACAGGCCTTACTAGCCTAAGAACACTGATACGTAAGCAGAATTCTCCAGAAAGTGAGCTACCTAAGCTTAGACAGCTAGTAACTGATAGGACCAGCAATCTACTCTTGTCAGATGATATACCACTGAACTCTTATTTCTAACTTTAGTTTATAATCAAAATGGAATTGCTGAAGCTAAGGAAAAAAAAATAAATGTTTCCCAATTTCCTTTTTAAACAGTGTAAGAATTGGGGGAGGCATTTGAAGATGGGAGAAGAAGGTCAAACTTGTAAGTTTACTAGTTTGAGCAGTAGATTTTTATGCCAACTGGAATCACCGAGATTAACTTTATGGACTGTAGATTGGAGATCAAAGTCCACACTTGAATTTGGACGATACAAAAATGCAAGAAGCACGAAACATGCCATATATTTTTTCAATTTTACTCATACTTGATAATCTTATTCCCTATCTACTTCAAATTACTTAGAAAAATCTGTATATAAACAAGATGAGAGAGCTTCTCTCTATTATATTTAATTTTGTTGTTGTTGACACAGAGTCCTGCTCTGTTGCCCGGGCTGAAGTGCAGTGGTGTGATCCTGGCTTACACTGCACCCTCTACCTCTAGGTTCCAGCAATTCTCCTGCCTCAGCCTCCCAAGTAATTGGGATTACAGGCACATACCACCATGCCAAGCTAATTTTTGTGTTTTTAATAGAGACAGTGTTTTACCACGTTGGCCAGGATGGTCTTGAACTCCTAACCTCCAATGATCCACCCACCTTGGCCTCCCAAAGTCCTGGAATTACATGCATGAACCACTGTGCCTGGCCTGTATTTGAATATTTAACAATTAAGCTGAAAAGCTTCTTGATGACATATCTTTAGCGATGATTACCAAGTTAATTTTCCCCTTCTCCATATCCATAGGAAATATACCCAACACAGTGCAACAGACCACCAAAGTGGGAGACCTGGTGCATTGCTACCAATCTATTTCCTCACTTCTGACCTGACAGCTACTACACTTGGACCAAAGACAGTGGGCCATCCGAGAGCCCATATAGGCACTTGGCAAGACTATAAAACTACTTGCAGACCAGTGGAGATAACCATCTCCAATCTCAGCGTTTGACTGGAAAATTCCAACGTACAACAATAGTTTTGGAAAAGACAAAAATACATTATTTTTAATTTCTCTACCTCTCTTGCCTCCATCTCCACTCATTCAACCCTTACCCATTTTTCTGCTTTCTGCACAACTGCCACCTTTTGCATTAAAACTTTCCATAAACCTTACCCTGCCTAACAGCAATCTCTGAGAGAATGAAGTGAACTCCCACAGCATTCCATCTCTGCTGCTCCAATATTGCCATCATTTTCCACCTTACACAGTTTTTGGGTTTTGTTTTGAAGACAGGATCTCGCTGTGTTGCCCAGACCACAGTGTAGTGGCGTGATCTCAGCTCACTGCAGCCTTGAACTCCTGAGCCCAAGCAATTCTCCCACCTAAACATCCCGAGTAGCTGGGACCACCGGCATGCGCCACCATGACCAGCTATTTTTTTAAAAATGTTATGTAGAGATGGGGTCTCACTATATTGCCCAGGCTGATCTTGAACTCTTGGGCTCAAGCAATCCTCCCACCTCAGCCTTTCAAAGTGCTGGGATTATAGGTGTGAGCCACCGCACCTCGCCTCTACCTTACACGGTTTTATTTCTTCTTTAAGCAACACGAGCATAGGATTTGTGTGGGTTCATCTTTCTTCTAGTGCCTAGCATCTTGCACATATACTCTGTGTGTGTGTGTGTGTGTGTGTGTGTGTGTGTGTGTGTGTGTGTACGTGCGTGCACGCATAATGGAAAAGCATGGGGATACACACCCAAATTTACCAGGCACTACTATTACCAGATACTATGTTTTATCTACACTCACAAAAATCCTCCACCTTCACAAAGTCTCCATCAAAAGTCATTATCATCGTTCCCATTTTGCAGAACAGCAAAATTGAAATTTAGAGAGGTTAATACGTGGCCAGAATCACAGAGCTAGGAAATAGCAGAACTGAGATTCAAATCCAGGCCTGATTAAGCGCCAAGGCACTTAATAATAAATTTAATACCCATTCAATATGTCATTTAGTGACCAGCATTTCCATACAAGGTACTAGAATGAGAACTGTTAGGAATGAAGATAGCTTAGGGTCCACAACTCTAATATAACTATATTGCAAAGGAGAAAGAGCAAAGTCTAAGAAGAGAGTCTGCATAAATGCCAAGGACGCTCAGAGGAGTATGAGATCACTTTTGAGGGGAATTGAGGTAGAGAGGGGTGGGAGTAAAGACCGTCATGAAGACGACAGTACTGAGCGGCAGCCTGGATTCAGACAAATGAGAGGTAATATGTTAAAGATTAAACTGGGCTCACCTTAGTATTCTTCCTAAAGCAAGAAAGTGGGCTAATAAATTACATTCAGTTATATTATCCTTGATAGCAAAGACAATTTCATATACTTGTTTTTTTATGCAACATTCATTCTGGAAACATCTAGCAAGTATTGACTGACTGAGAAAGGATGAAAAAAGGGGGCAA